ACAGAATCTATTTTAGCTTGAATAAAGGGTCACAGATTAAAATCAATCAAGAAAATAGACACCTGTCTCTGAATTCCCTTCTGTCTGCCTCCCACCTCTGCGGCCATCCGCTCCCGCAGGTACCGTTATGGGCTCAGGGTCTGTCCTGCTGTCATCTCCTGTTACCTTGAGCCAGGTGCATTTATCTCTCTAGAGGATGCTTCTTGATTTTACATCTCTGGATAAAAATCTGTTCCTGGTATTCAGACCCATAGATTCAAAACTTCTTGACGTCTCCCTTTTGCAGATGGCTCAGAGTGAACTCATTTTCTCACTCAGACCTATTTCTGTATTCCCATCTCACACAAGAATAATACTCTTCACCTACTTACTCATCCTGGAAGCCCAGAAACTATCATTGATTCTTCACTCCCCTATTAACTTTCACAATCTCTTAACTATCTTGTCCTGCCAAGACCATCTTCTTAATTTTCTACAAAACTGTCTTCTACTTTCCATCTGCATTGTAATTATTTCAGACAATCAGCATATCTCTCCTGATCTACTGTATGGCTCATCAATGGTCTCCCTTCATCCCTTCCTATCCTCCCCACCAATCAATTATCTTCACTGCTAATCATGGTAGTCTTTCCAAGCATGAACTGGCTTTTGTCACATACCTCCTTAAAAATCCTCAAAAGGTTCAGCATTGTCTAGAAATTAAAATGGCATGTCTAGAAGTTAAAATGGCATGTCTAGAAGTTATTGCAAGGCATGCCAAGCCCCTCCAAATGATAAATGAAGGCAGCTCCTGGCTGCTAATCTTCATGCCAATTTTTCTCCTTTCTCTCTGTCCCCTCCCGACCTAAATATACACCCTGAGCTCAAACTACATGAAGCTTTTACATTTGCTGGAATCTGCCATCGCTTTCTTATATCCATTATCTGTACCTGTGTACTTGCTGATGCTCTTATTTGCTTTTAAAATTCTTTAGTGTAAATGTCATTTCCTCCAAAAACCCTTGCTGATTTTCCCAAAGCAGAATGAGATGTCTCTCTGTGCTCCTCAGCAACACGGTTGCCAGTGATAATTACTAGTGTTGCCATATTCTAGTGTACCTATTGGATGGCCTTCTCCTTCCCCATTAGACTATGAGAAGTTTAATTCATAGTGATGACTTTATGAATCTTTGTTAAAAAAATTAACTGAACACATCTTTCTCTTAGACATTGAAATGCTGCTATGTAACTTAATGATGCTGAATAGATGTGGATTATCCTGCCTTCTTTTTGCCTACACAGATGAAGGATCTATGAAGTAGGAAGGCTAACATATATAAAGTTACTTTTTTCTATTCAAAATTTATTTTCAAACAACTTTTATAGGCCTAGGTAGACATGATCACTGACAGTTTTAAAAATGTTCTCATAAAAATAACACATGTAATGTGCATGTATTTTGGCTAAAAAACCCCAACATATTCTATACTTCCAACTACACTTATTATTCAGAATATAATTACCAAGAAATTGCTTTTTGTAAGCAAAATCCTTCTTTACTCATCATCTTCACTCTTCACTCACTCTTCACTTCATTCTTCACTCTACTGTCATTTATTTTTATATTTAAATGTTAATATAATTAGTGTACTGGAAATCAAAGATTTAAGAAAAATACCTTTTCTGTATTGAAAATGGAAGAAATTAGAAGATATTCTGAAATCTGTTTCTGAAAAGAATAGGGAATGAATCTTCTCTCTAATTATCAGTCTAGGCATGGTCTACTCCACCACTGTTGTAATTCAGAAGAGTTTTGTTGAGTGTTCTCTTAGTATTATGAGACCAAATTAGTCTATTGCTCTCATCTACACTAGATTTTGATTTGATCACCTAAGATTACCAGCAAGGAAGTTGCAAAATTGTACAGAACCAAGTTAAAATTGTTTCTAAAAATCAACTCTAATGTAATGGTAAAATGAAAGCTTTCACACACACACACACATACACACACACATATACACACACACAGAAAGAGTCTATGAAATAAGAGATTAAAAGAGCACATTGAAAAAAGGAAAACAAGATAAAAAGAGTGAAAGAGGAAAGTATATTTTAACAGCAGGAAATGGCATGACTCAGCATGAAAAAAAGAGTAAAAAGTATAGAAAGATAGCTGGGAGAGCTAAAAGTAAAATTTAATGACAAAAAATGAAAAGTCTGCCTTCAGAAAACTGAAAAAAATTAAGTTTCAGTGCCCAAATATTGCTATATTTTAAGACTATCAGGATAGTGTTTGTTATATTGCATCATTCTCTTAATTTTCTAAAAGTTCAGAAAGATAAGATTCTTCACTGATGACAATTGTAAGGCACATATTGGTTTCCACTTGCTTTGACACAGTAGGGTCCTTTGTACCCTTTGTATCCTTGACAGCTGGGCTATGACACTATTAGCGGAGCAAGTTTTTAGTTATTCCTTTTTTTTCTTTCTGCCTGAGGTACTTGTTCCCTCTTAAAATGTTTCCTGGGTACTTGGAAGCCAAATAATTCAAACTGTCATAAGGGTGAGGGTGCACAGCTTTCTTTTAAATCAAATGCTGCTGCTTTACTCTCTAATCTGTAACATCACAGGAATCTAACACCAAACAGCTATTTTTTCCTTCATTTTAGTGCCTGGCTTCTGAATTGGTTACTGATACATAAATACTTCAGATTTCTTCCCTGTATATAAAAGCAGGCTATAATCATATAAATAAAAATATAAATACTAACCTGGAACAGTAAAAAAAAAAAAAGTAAACTTCACAGAGCTATCTTAATAGCAGATGATAAGGTCCAAAATATAAAACAGATATTCTCTCTCCAACCCTGGCCCATCCCACCTAAACTAACAATGTACCGATTGACCTTTCTCATTTGGCAAAGTAGTGACAAAACACACACAAACACACACACAAAACAAAAACAAACCATAACCACATAACTTTGGAGCTAAAGCCAACGTGGAAAAAAAAAGATTAACTTCCTAGGTTTAAGAGCTTTTAATGCATCTCAACAGTACGTGTTGAGATGTTACTCATTTTGAAGGCACTGTGCTAGAAAGATAAGCCGGGGAAGGTGGATAAGATGTAGAGAAATGCACAGTTAATCAAACAGCCGGCCAGAAACTAATAAGCACTCCAAGCAACACACTCACAGAGGGTATGAAGGGTTCAAAGGAAGAAGGCATCTTAGCCAACTGGAAGCATCAGGAAATCTAATAGAGGAGATGTCATTTGAGGTGGGTCTGGAAGAATGGGTAGGATCTGGAAGACAGAGACATTTATTTCCACTGATTCTTAAGATTTAGGTAGGTGCTCACTTGATTTTCTCTGCTTCTACATTTTGATTTCTTGAATTTCGAACTTTCTGTATTTAACCCTCCACTCCATGACCTCACTGAGAATTTAGTCATACCAAATTAATCACTGAATCCTGAATGAACCGAACATTTTAAACTATCATTTTGCATGCACTCATAGGATTCTCTCTGCTCGCTCCACTGCTTTCTTTCCTTTCCTTGAATAAGTTGCAAAGTGACATAGAAGACTTGGTTCATTTTCTGTCTTGACCCTTCTGTGCATGAAAAAGTGTGTTATCTCATAAGTATTTCCAAAACTGTATGCTGCTGGATAGCTGTCTCATGTTGTATCACTTCATTTATACGCTTGATCCTCCAAGCAAACGATGAGATCCCTGAGGCCACTGGCAGTGACACAATCTTCTCTGTACCCTCAGGCCCGTGTCTCTCAGACAAGCGGTTGGTGTCTGAATGTACATATCCTGATGGAATCGGTGTTTGGTAGAAGAGCAACATAGGCGTGTTCCCATAAGCTGCGGTCCATTCTGAAAAGCAGGCTGTGGACCCTCGGGTTCACCTTTCCTCCGCCCGCGAGGACCACTAAGAGCGGCGCACTGAGCAAGCCGAAGGCCACATGGAAGCCCACAGCACCACACTCTTGCCCTAGAATGTCATCCGCGACGCATTCCAAGGAGCCCTCCCTGCCAGCATCTAAACACTTCTCTGCAGCGGCCTAAAGTGGCCCTTATTCATTCCTTTCTAGGATCAGGGAAACACCTCCCTGGCTTTCAGTCTGTGAGGAAAAAAAAAAAAAAAAAAAGACTAGGACTTTCCTGAGGCTGGGAGCGGGGATTCCCTCTCCAGGAACGTGCCATTTCCACGCCGCCTACCTGGCTGAAGGCGGCCAAAGACGAGGAACCGGGTGACCTGGGGACACTAGACGCGCGCGGGTCCCCCTCCTCCGGAGGGTGGGGGTGGGGGTCTCAGCCCGGGAACCCACTAATTAGGCTCGCCCCCATTGGTCGTCCCCCGGCACCTCCGTCACCGTTATGCTAACGAGGGGCGTCTCATTGGCGGGGCCTCCGCGGCGGCCCCGCCCACGGGGAGAGCCCGTGCGCGGCGCCGGGACCCCCAGCCCCAGGCCCCCCGGCGCCTGCGCGGCCTTGCGGGGCGTCCGCCTGCGGGGATCTGCTGCAGGCTGGGCTACCTTGCTAGGAGGGTCGCGCCTGCCGCCGGGCGGGACGGGCTTTCACCCTCGCGCTGCGCGCACGCCCACCCCTCTCCTCTCTTTCTAGGCACCGCGCGTCTTTTCTCTTTTTTTCGGGCGAAGTAACTTTTGCATTCCCGCCTCCCCCGAGTCCTGTCGACCAGAGGCGGCGCCCAGCCTGGGGGCGGTTCTTTGGCATCGTCGGTCCCTGTCAGAGCCAGACTTTTGCTCCTGGGCTGGGTTTGCATCATCCCCATCACACCCTCCGGAGGAGAGGAGCCGGCCCCTTTCGGCCTCAGCTTCCGGCTGGGCGCAGACCCCCCTCCGGCTCCCAGGCCCCTTCCCTGCTGCGTTCCCCCCTCCCGCCGCCGCCTTTAACGAAGTCCTCGCTCCCCCCACTCCGCAATATTTTCTTTCGCTCGCCCTCCTCGCCTCCTCCATTCGTTGTCTCACGTTTCCCACTCTTTGAGGAAGGATGGTTGATCTGGAGAGCGAAGTGCCCCCTCTGCCTCCCAGGTACAGGTTTCGGGATTTGCTGCTCGGGGACCAAGGATGGCAGAACGACGACAGGTGAGTGGTGTGCTGCAGCGTGGTTCCGGAGATACAGCTGGAAAAGGGAGGGATGGGAAGGCTGAAAGGCTAAAAGGAGGGAGACGAGGAAAGGGAGCCAGAGCTGGGGGAGGGAGGGAGAGGGACTCTGACGTGTCTCTCCATTTTGACTATAGGGCAATTGGTGTAGGCAAGGAACTCCTTCTTTTCACTTTCGGACCCCTGCAATGTATTTATTGCATTTATTTGGTGCTTATTCTTTTGTCTATCTGTGCTTTCCCAGGGTGTGGATGAGGCTGGTGTGAGAGGTATAGTACGTCCAAATGGCACGCAGCATCACTGCCGATCAGTTTTCATATTTTTCCCTTTGATGTTGTTAATCAAATTCGAAAATGCATCCGAGTTGATTGAAAAAGCCCCCAAATCCCCTACACCTGTTTACTTACTCCGTATCGGTCTTGTCCTGATTAGGTGTCCACCCGCCACTGGGAATTTTATGCTTTTAAAACATTTGGAGACGCAGGTAGACAGTTGGTTTCAATATGTAACAGGTAGTTAGTGAAAATAACAGCGTTTGCAATGGAAAAATCTCACTTTGAACGGGTAACCATGATTATTATTCATAATGTGTTCGTATAGCATGATCCAACCTTCTCATAAATAAGGTATTTAACCTAAATAGTATATATGTCACAAAATTAAAGCATAATTTTCAAAACTAGAGTGTTATTAGCAAAATATTGCTCGTGTTTTATCTGTAGCATCACTGCTTTGCCTCGTTAAACTTTTGGAATTACTCTTGTTATGTCTTATTATTATTTTTTAAAAAGCACATTTTATGTTTCATTGAATTTGGTATTTTCTGAAATAGTCATTTAGGTGTCACATGCCACATTTCCTTGTTTTAAAACAATACGTGTATACTAACTAGACTTTCAACTCAATTGAAATGTTTCGTTAAACTTCAGTTTGGTATTGCTGTTCTGTTTTAATTACATAAAAAATCCGTTATTGGCCCCATTCAGAATCTCCTTGTTCAACCACTGGGAAATACCTTCCTCCCATCTCAGCTCCCAATACAAACCCACACTACACACAGGGGATTTTATCTGGGGCATCAATGGTGGCCTTCTTCTTTGGTCTCATATTAGCAATGTAAAGGGATATGGATGTTTTGTAGATGATATTTCAGTTCAATATCTTTAGGCAAAAATGTATCTATTGATAAAAATTAAACAATTCATACCAGTATGCTTGGAAAGTAAGGTGTTCTGGTTGACTAAAGATGAAGAAAAGAATATTTAAACAAATTTCAGTGCTAATTGACATTTAGATACACTATTTTAACTTAGCTCAGTGGCTCATCAAGTGCAGCTTGGTGTTCATAGTGATTGGATCTATATTTGTTACTTCAGGATGTCAAGATCATCATGTATTAATTAAATAGAAATCCTTATTGCAAAAATGTGAGTTGGGCAGAGTACATAGAGGACGTATTTTGGACTGGTGGTGGTAGCCTTGTTTCTTTTGTAAACATCATATCCAAGATAATGATTGCTCATGGGGTTGCCCTCACTTTTCTCGGGGTGTGAAGATATTTAGGTAATTAAGAATTTCGAATAGTTGAATGCATCGTAAATCAGTCATTGCCATGTTAAAAAATGTTTTGCACTTTTAAAATCCCTTTTATAACGTAAGCTTATACTAGCCCAAGTTTAACTCTAAAATTCGGCCGTATATAATAAAGTATTGTTACCAAACTAGACTTGGGTCCACTTGCCTGTGCAGTAAAGCCGATCTACTGACAATGCTTTGTGGTGAAGGCAAAAGAAAAAGTGAAGTCACTCAGTTGTGTCCAGCTCTTTGCAACCCCGTGGATTATAGCCCTCCAGGCTCCTCTATCCATGGGATTTTCCAGCCTAGAATACTGGAGTGGGTTGCCATTGCCTTTTCCAGGGGAAACTTCCTGACCTAGGGATGGAACCGCAGTCTCCCGCACTGCAGGCAGACTCTTTTACCATCTGAGCCACCAGGGAAGCCCTGGCAAGTGACTAGCACTCTATTTTTATTTTGACACTCTTTATTTCAGGGCACCAAGCAAGGAGTCCAGGTAGCTGGTCCTGGAAATGCCTAAACTTCCCAATAGCTTTCAGGGAGATGTTTTTAAAGACAGAATGTGGGGGAGGGGCAGTAGTGCAGTGTGTGCAGCTCCTGGACAGTCTTTTGATTGGTTGGTGATGAGGTAATCAGGAGTCTACAGGTTCAACTTTCTGGTTCTCAACCAGCTTGGGGTCTACCAGGTTGTGGACAGCAGGAAGTTAACTTCTTCCACCTAGTGGGGGTCTTAGTGTCTGCAGAACAGACTAAAGATCAGGGCTCAAAATGTTTTGATGGCCGTTGAGGTCCTCAACTTTGTTTAATTTCTCACATATTCTTATTCTGTTTTGCTTGACTGTTTTCCTTTCTTTCTGCCATTTCCCCACTTCTCCAATTAAATTTATTCTTTGGAACTCAGCCTTGGAGGCCAAAGTTTTCTACAGACAAGGGGCAGGCAGAGGACACGGTGGGGGGAAATCTGTCTTGGGAACTCCCCATAGGGTCCTGTTCGGTTATAGTATTAACATTTTAAACATTGTTCATTCACACTTAAAGGTAATTTTGTGCCTCCATGAAAACTTACTGTTTAGTTTTGGTTATGTTTGTTGTCCATCTTTGAAGACAAGATCCTTTGATTAATAGGGAGAACCCAGATTTCAATGCTGTGCTTATTTATTCACTACCTGAGTGACCTTAGGCAAGTCATTCAGCTGTTACAAATTTCAGTAATTTTGTTTCTGTAAGACATTTCTGTAAAACTAACAGTTTGCACTAAGTACTTAGCTAGTTGTATATTTTAACTATCCTATATGTTATATGTGTATGTGTAACATACATGTAAAGACATATGTATATGTTAACTTACTATATTTATTATTTTAGTCAATTCTCTGATAGTCCTTGAATTATAGATAATTATTTTAAGGACTAGGAAACTCAGTTTCTGGGAAATTAAATACTTGTTATGGTGTTATACCTTACAAGTGTAAAGATGACACTTGGGTTCAGTCCTTTGTGACTCAAATTACTTAAGAAGCTCCTAATTTCCCTCTACCTAATTAAATTTCAATTTGTAAGAATAATTTTATGTACCCTAGCATAGGTGAGGTGCTCTTCATTGCATTCCCTTCTTAATCCACGAGTCAAAGTTTGCAAGTGAAGTCATCTCTTTTGCCTTTAGTATGGTCACAAATTTCTCTTTGCAATTAAGTATGATAGCAATGTTGTTCTCAGTTATCTTCGTGGGCTCAATTCCTACAGAGAAAAGGAGGAAGCACTCTTTAATCCGGGAATAAGTAGACAGTTCTGCCAACAGATGCATTTAGCGCTCTGCCCATATTCTCTGGATATTTTCTAGGAACACCCTCTGCCTGACATTTTTTGTTTGTTTCCTCTTGGCCCTACGTGCACACCCAGCCCTCTTGGAGAGCAAGCCAGAAGTACCACTGAGTAAATACAGATGTGTTAGATAAACACTGTAGCCTCCTAGTTCCTTGGTTGGGACCATTCTGGCTTATGTTCTTTGTATTGTGTCCTGTGGACCCCCAATCTAATTGGCATCGGGGGTAACTGGCTTTATGTTGTGAGCTTTATTAGCTTTCTTCCCTCTCTCACTGACTGGTGTTTTCTGGATCATTTCCCAAGTAAACTACTTACACTTCCGTCCTTATCTCACGGTCCGCTTCTGGTGGAATCTGCATCACGATGGATATCTTCCCCATCTAGAGGCACATTCTACAAATGATGGGGGAGAATGAGAGAAGAGGAAAGTAGAGCTCTTCATTTTAAGAATTTTAAGTTCAGTCTTAATAGGATATGGTAGATTGGCATGTAAAAATGAATGAGGCATATTACTGATGTGTGAAGGGGTAGTATTAAAGAGGGAATATTGGTGAGTCTGTCATTATACAGAAGTGTACATTCTACACTATAGATTTTCTGTAAACTAACCACGGATAATTCACTTATATTTATATTGTACCACCTTTTGCTAGGGAAACAGACACACATGTAAAATACATGTAATATGTAGGTATATGTATAATGTATATGTAATAGATCTGTATTCTGTGTGAAAGTGAAGTCACTCAGTCGTGTCTGACTCTGTGATCCCATGGACTGTAGCCTACCAGGCTCCTCCGTCCATGGGATTTTCTAGGCAAGAGTACTGGAGTGGGTTGCCATTTCCTTCTCCAGGGGATCTTCCCAACCCAGGGATTGAACCCAGGTCTCCCACATTGTAGACAGATGCTTTACCATCTGAGCCGTCAGGGAAGTCATTCTATGTGAAATATATGGAATGCTTATGTAATATACACATCAGTGGATCCTTGTGTAAATCTTATCCTCTAATGCTTATGTTTAGTCACGTCCGACTCTTTGCGACCCCATGGACTGTAGCCTACCAGGCTCCTCTGTCCATGAGATTTCCCAGGCAAAAATACTGGAGTAGGTTGCCTTTTCCTTCTCCAAGGGGTCTTCCATGCGAAATGCCATGCTGGATGAAGCACAACCTGGAATCAAGATTGCAGGGAGAAATATCAATAACCTCAGCTATACAGATGACACCACCCTTATGGCAGAAAGTTAAGAGGGACTAAACAGCCTCTTGATGAAGCTGAAAGAGGAGAGTGAAAAAGTTGGCTTAAAACTCAACATTCAGAAAACTAAGATCATGGCATCTGGTCCCATCACTTCATGGCAAATACATGGGGAAACAATGGAAACACTGACAGACTTTATTTTCTTGGGCTCCAAAATCACTACAGATGGTGACACAGCCATGAAATTAAAAGACACTTGCTCCTTGGAAGAAAAGCTATGAAAAGCCTAGATAGCATATTAAAAAGGAGAGGAATTACTTTACCGACAATGGTCAAAGCTATGGATTTTCCAGTATTCATGTATGGATGTGAGGACTGGAC